AAAGACAATCGTGAAAAAAATTACAACTGTGTAACGAATTTTGACAATTATTACCGCGCCGAGCTTTTTGCTTTAGCAAATTTTCGAGCGATACTTCCAACTCGAGTATTCGCATTTTTCTCTCTTTAATTTCGCGATCTAATGGCTCAATCTGTATTAGACAACAATTATAAATATTAGCTTCAATTTAGAGGTTATTCTTTTAATTATTAACATCTTTTTTCGCGAGTACAAAAATAGAAGAATTGTAACCAGCTGTAACTTTTTTATTTCAATAATAGAAATCTAAGTACGTTCTACAAATTACAAGCTTATATCGCTTTGCCAGCGTACCGAGGTCATGTTTAATGTTTAACAATTTCAATTCTTCATTCTCCATATCGTCTATTTGCACTTTTAACTCTTGAATAGTCTTCTGTTTAGGCTCAATCTATTTATAAAATTATGAACTTTAGATATTTTGGGGCTGTCATTATAGACTGATAAACGAGTTTATTTTAAAGTCAAGAAGTTAATGTTCTGATTTAGATTAAGAAACACTTTTATTTTTATTCAAAGTGATGTTGCTTGTAACTCACATAGTATGAATGATAGAAAAATGCAATACATTAAATACATATTAAAAGCAGTTATTACGTTACGATAAAAGGAAATTTCTATTACCTGGTTCTTGAGTTCTGTTATTTTGAAGTTTAAAACAAATTTATACTTCTCCAATTCTTGTTTCTTTCTCTTCAATTCATATATTCTTTTCTCTTTGTCTTGAATTGTGCCATCTCTTTCACATATTTCTTTCTTTAAATCGGCAACTTCACGCTCCAATGTTGAAATAACTTTTTGGAACTGTTTATGTTCAGCTTTAATAAAAAAAAATATTATGTAAATATGTGTATTTGTTAAAAAATATTATGGAAACGGATAAGTCATAAAAATATCAAATAACACACTTACCTTTCAGTTGTGAGACCTGATGTTTAAATTCTTCTATTTCTTTATTGGCTGCAATCAATTTTTTCTTCATTAAACCAGTTTCTCCTTTAAGTCTCACATTAGCATCTTTCTCTTCCTTCAATTGGACCTCGTAAGCTGTCCTTATTTCAATGATCTCACGGTCTGCGTCTTCTTCTATTGAAGCTTTTATTGTCTCGTGTTCTTTAGTTGCCATATCAGCTTGTTCTTGAAGCTAAAAATGTACGTCATTTGTATTCCTTTGAATTTTTAAGTGCACCAAAGCACTTACTTTAAATACTTATATCAAAGGATAGGCGGTTTTCTTACCTCTTGGAAAACAAGTTCTTTTTCCTCAAGTTTTGCCTCAAACATTTCATTGAGTTCTCGCAGCGCTTCTCGTTTACTTTCTGCTAATTTATCTAAAAGTGATTCATACTCTTTTCTCATTCGAGCTGTTTTATCTTCCAGACTCTGAAATATTTGTATTGTTTATTTAGATGCAAAATTGTACATTGCGTGTTTGTATTAGGGACGATTATTGTATTTACCTGATATCTGTCGTACTCACTGATCAATCTGACATTAAAGTCTGCTTCTAATGTTTGCAGAGTCCTCTCATGACCTGAACGTAGTTTTGCTATATCTTGTTGTATCATTCCTATTTCATGTGTATGCTCGTTTTCCATTGTCTATAAAACAAGAATATATTATATTGTTGATTAACTAAAATACTTTTGTTAACCAAATATTTTAATATTGAAACTGAAAAAGGTGCTTCGTACTTCATTCTTTTCTTTCAGTTCTTCGATAGCGGCGCAGTAACCTTCGTGAACCTCTTTCAGTTTTTCAGCTTGCGTAGCTTCAGCCTGCCGGAGCTGGTATGTGTGTTCAGTTTCAAGCTCACTCATTCTGGTGCTCAGTAACTAAAAATAAGAATCATTACTATAGTTCAAGGAATGCTTATTTTGTATCATTTTATTTTTTTTAAATACGTCAGCTTACATTAATGCTGTTAATTTTTTCTTGCAAATCTTTTTTACTTATCAATATCTCTTTGGAATACGCGAAGTCTTTATCTAAAGCGATGGCTCTACCATCTGCGTTGGTGAGACGCCATAAACAGATGGACGCGTCTTCGGCGACGGATATAAGCGTTTGATCATCGTAAGCCAGAGCGATGCTTGTAACCTTCTTGTTATGCATGTGGAACTCATTGTAGATGGCTTTATCTAGGAGGGGCAGCTGAACCGCCGTTACACCTCCTTCTCCTCCAGTGATGAAGAGCATCATGTCAGAACGTGAGAGAATAATCGTATCCAAAGGGCAACCGATCAATCCCAAACTCCTCCTTATTGTGTTCGAACCTATTTCTTTGATTTCGCCATCAGTTCCTACACCGTACGTAGTTTTTCCATTGCTGAAACGAACAAAGTCTACTCAATGTTTTTTTCAGTATGTGGATTAGTAAAAATACTAATATTCTTTATTCATTGATTTTAATATATAATCTTGTCTATTTAACAATTATAATGATACGGGTGATTACTTTTAATATTAGCAATACCAAACCTGTTAACCGCGCAGGCGGTAAATTGATTC